TTTAATATTAATAATATTAGTAATAAGAATATTAAAAAATCAAATGATAATAAAAAAGTAGATAATAAAATAACCAAAGAAGATAGATTTAAATTACGAGAAATAGGATTGGAAAATATAGGATTGGAATCACTTGAAGGTTTTACATCTGAACCAGATACTTCAATTATAGCAGAGTCTGCAGATACATCATTCTTTGCTATTAAAGATATGAAAAGGTATAAAAGATAAAATAAATTTACTTTTATACTTTTTTAAAGTTTAATCATTTGTAAAAGTTAATGAATTTAATAAAAATTAAAAAATTAATAATCGAAGTTAAAATTTATTACATCAATGTTGACTATGAGTCTTAATAATAAAGAAAGAACCAAGTAATAATCCAATTAATGTAAAGAGTAGTTTTTTTGTAACAGATTTACCATGAAGTTTAGTAGCAATATTCTCAAAAAAGATAACATAAAGAAGAGATCCTAAAGATAAACCTTTTAACAGAGGTTCTAAAAAGGTTTTATCAATATACGTCCTAATAGAAGCACCAATACACATAAAGAGGGGAGTTACACAACAGAAAGCAAACAAAAACTTTAACGCAGTACCTTTAGACATAGTACCTTTTGATAATGCTAAACCAGCTGATAATGAATCAGTCATTTTATGCATAAACAATCCAACAGTAGCAATTGGAGTAGAATTACAATGATTATCAAGACCTTCTAATAACGAATGAAGAGAAAGTGCTCCTAATAAAATACCAATTTGAAATGGATTTTTTAAATCTTTTAAAGACTCAAAATGATGTTGGTTAAAATCATCTTCTTCAACTAATTCATTCTCATTCTTCTCAGTTTCTATCACATCGTGGTGATGAGCCTCTTCAAGTGTATTGATTTCTTTGTCATGGTGGTGATGAGAATGAGAGCAATGTACAAACATATTCTCAACCATTAACAAACCAATAATAGTAATGGCAGCATATAAGAATGTTAAATGTTCATTATTTTCTGGCATTATATCTACAAATGCCAATGCCATGTCAAATCCCGAAGAAAAGCATGTTAGAAATGAAAAAAATCCTCCAGCACTTGCAATATTTTTATACTTGAATGGTATTAATCCAGCTATCATTGATACTATTATAAGAGTAAACGCTTTTACAGTAGTCTTTATGATGCTATCATGATTACTCATAGATTTGTAAAAATTGGGGCTTTAATTAAAAAATTTATAAATTAAAATAAAAATATTTTAATTTAATTTTAAAAAATAACAATAAATTGAAATT